AGTAGATCTGGATTTGAATCTGGCCTCTACCGCTAACTAAACTATGACTCTGTGACTTTTGGGAAAGCTTGTTAACCTTTTGAACTTCTGTTTCTCATTCTGGATAATAGCGGTAGTAATACATTCTTTGAGTCAGTTATAAAGGAGTTAGCTGTAAGGTTCCTACATTTAATGCTTCGCCTGTCAGGATCACTTCCTATTGTAGCCACTATCACTACTACTACTATTGCTGCTGTAATAGAACACTGGACACTGATGTAGGGTTGGTAGTATTAGATGGTTTAAACTGTCCTCTAACCACTTACCAGTCCAATTTAAATACAGGATAACCAAAATTTGCATATTTTTTCATTAATTTTTATAAGATAATACAATAAGAAATAAAACAACAATTTTATCAAATTTATTCAATAATTTTTCTGTGTATGGTATATCTTAAGACATTCAATGTACAACACAACATTACAATCTGGACAGAGTATCTGGTCTCTTTCTGAATTCTTTTTGCATTATCATCTTTCTTTGAACACCACACTTTACACTGTCATTTTAACCTTTCGTTTTTTTTCATGAGTGGTATAATTTCAATAAAATGTCGCCTCACTAAACGTAACAGTGAAGACGTTGATGATGGACATCATGGTTGGCATTTCATTATCCCATATTTTTCAATTATTTGGTGTATTAGACTTAATCTAAATTGTAAATGACTTTGTGAACCCCCTTGTTCTGAATAAATAGCACACAGATTGCATATTACTTGATCCAGAAGGTATATACATTTTTTTTTCAATTTTTTGGTACCAGGGATCAAACTTGGGACCTTGCACTTGCAAGGCAGGCACAGCCCCACTAAGCTAAATCCCTGGCCCCTATAATAATAATATTTTATAATAATATTTTTCTTCTTGCTTTTTGATTACAGGATAGTTTGTTAGATGTTGGTCAACTCTGTCAACACCACTCATAGAATTATTATAATCAGTGACCACTATTGGAACTTTTTTAGTTTTGTTTCTTCTTTCAAGTTCTGTTGAAATGGCACTCGGCGGGCAGGCAGACCAAGGAAGAGAGCGGCACTCAGAGAACTGAAGGGAAAGCCAGGTTTATTCGCTAGCTAGGGGCCCAGTGGATGTCACCTTCCAGAGTCTGAGCCCCATTTCTCCGTTTGTTCTCACATTTATCTGTTCTTCAGGCAGGGCGGGGGAGTGAGCAAAATTTTACAGAAGAAGAACTTAGCAAAGGGTAGGGAGGTGGAGGTAAATGTTGTTTTTACAGTTTATCTTTAAGACATAGGGAGGTAGGCAGCTGTGTTTCAGCAGTTCATCTTCCAGGAACAGTGACCTTCGTGGGTTTAGCAGGAGGGGCAAGCCTTAGACTGTCAGCCTTGAGACTGGCAGTTTCTGGCAAGCTTTGAGACTATCACTCTCTGCTCTGTCTTTTGTTTTTTCCATTTCACTGTCACTTTTGTATTATGAACAGTCGACAATAAAGAGACATCTTTTTTGCCTTTCCACTTCATAACATAGACTTTTCCTCTCTGATGTTAACATCTCTCCCTTTTTCAGTTTTTTCTTTGGCAGATCTTTTGACACTTCCTTCCTATTCAGTCTCAGTGTCCCAAATGTGTCTGTTTTGTATTGTAAAAGAATATCACTGAGTTCTGGAAAAGTATAAAAATTATATTTAATGTACTTACAATAAGAGTTTTCATAGATTGTAGCACAAAATTATAGGTTATTTTTCACAAATAAAATAAGCACGAATTAATAAAAGAAAATAACCAGAACTTATTTTTAGATTTCACTAAAAACAGTATCAAAGGTGAATACAAGGGCCAGGGATTTAGCTCAGAGGTGCCACATCTGCCTTACAAGCACAAGGTACTGAGTTTGATCCCTGGTACCAGGAAAAAAAGAAAAAAAAAAAGGTGAATACAACATTCTAAATAAAAAGTATGCAAAAAATAATTGATACAAGATAAACAGACATAGGAGTGTATCTCATGCAAATAAGAATTGACTGGTTGAAATGATGCCTGCCCTAGTGACATAAAAAATAGTCAATACGTAAATAAACACTCTGCCTGGGTGATGCTTGGAGTAAACTGTAAATGGTTAAAGACTGGATGCCAAATGAAGCAGTTTTTAACATAACTTCCACCTTTTCCTTCTGTTAATCTAGAAGCACCATGGTCATCAAGTAATTTGCAGCCTTCAAAGTAAATTTCAACTCTGCTACAGATGTGTTTATGCCCTGGAAAATTTCAATAAAATGTCCTTTAATGTTAGTTAACATTTGTAATATACAATTTCTTGTGATGCAGTACTAGAAAGAAAAGGATTTTATTTGTTTTTTGGTTTGTTTTGTTTTTGTTTTAAGACAGCATCTCACTATGTAGTTTAGGTTAGCTCACTACGTAGCTCAGCCTAGCCTCAAAGTCACTGCAATCCTCCTGTTTTAGCCTCTTGAGTGCTGGAGAAAAGTCATTTTAAAATTTAGATATACTGTTGCCCCACCCTACCTAGAGATGGCATAGTCACAGTGGAAACTCAGGACCTTGTACTCTTGAATTTATTGTTTGGGATAGAACTAAATTGTTTCACACATTTTAGGTACCTATTTTAGTGACACATTTTCAGTACTGAGTAACTGCCTCAGTAAGATGTATCTGAGGATTTTTCTATATTTGTAATGTTGCTGTTTGTGAGGATGTGCTTTTTCAGTTGACGACTGAGGAAGCCTGTCATCATCATTAGTACTCATTCAGCATGAGCACCTGTTTCATCTAGGCACTAGAGATGCAAACATGAATAAAACATGATTCCTGTTCTGGAAAATTTCATAGATTATTGGGCCAGAAGATACTTTAAAACACAATCACGTTTCAAAGTGATAATTTATATGTTCATATATAATAAATACATAAAATGTTATAGTAATACACTGAAAGAGCCAATAAATTTGGAGGTATGTGATAAGTTGTCAAAGAAAAAATGACATTTGAACCAAGTTTTGAAGGTTGGGTGGGAATTTGCTCTTCAGGGAGGAGCAGGGAATAGGATAGGAACAGCCTATGAAGAGACCAGAAGTCACAGGGGTATGCAAGGTAAGGACAGTGTCTTCAAAGTAGCTGGAGAAAAAGGATACATGAGAGAAATTTGAATTGAAATTAGAAGTTTTAGTTTTATCCTTTTGGTAGTGATGAATCATTGAAGGTTTTTAAATTAGATTTGATATAATCAGATTTGAGTTTGAAAACTCATAGTAGCTGGGGGCCAGAGAAAGACAAATGGTAGATGCTAGTGAAAAAGCTATTACTGTACTTTCCAAGCAAAAGACAAGGATTTTATGAGACAGGGTCTTTTTTTTTTTTTGTACTGGGGATCGAACTTGGGACCTTGCGCTTGCGAGGCAGGCGCCAGAACCACTGAGCTAAACCCCCGGCTCATGACAAGGATTTTATATTGATAGCAGCTGAGTAAGGTAAGCGAAATGTCATTAGATTAGAGAGAGTTTCCCAGTGTGTAAGCAATTAAGTTTTGTGATTAATAGGATATCGCACATTGTGGACAGTGGGGTTTGTGATGCTTGGCTTAGCCCTGAGTGGATTAACTGAAATTAACAAAACTGGGGGAAATGTAAAAAAGAAAAGCAGTACTGTTTGGTTTTTGTTTCAGGGATTGGGACAAGACTTTCCATTTTGTACAGATTAGATTCAATCTTTTCAGGAACATTCTAGTAAGCAAAGCTGGATATGAATCCCAGGAGAAAAATGACTGTAGTAATATTTTTTTAGTTCCCAGTGCTTATTTTTCCATGAAAACCTGAGGTTCTCAGGAGTTAACTGATTATAGTCTTAGGAAGGTAGCTATAAAACCAAAACAAATTCCTAAGCTTCTTACCAACTGAAATGGCCTTATTGAAAAAAAAAAAAAATCTCTTGGTTTCTACTATAATTGTTTTACTGTTCTATTTCCCATAGTATCTTTAAGAAAAAAAAAACTAGTATATAAAAAATTCTTCTATTTTCTGCACTGTGTTTATTAGGGTTCCCAAAGTAATTTGGCTGACAGACAAATGAGTGTTTAAGATTATAGCTAAGGATCCTCAAATGCCTTTCTTTGTTGTTGCAAAAAACAAAATTTAAGATTAAGTCCTCTAGAATACTCATTATTTCAGGTGTGCTTGATCTAAACTTGTTACCCTGCTTAACTATGAGGAATGTTCAAGAATGAAGATACAGTGTTTACTTCTTTGCAGGAATGTGAAAGTAACTGTCCCCCTACACTGCGCCCCCTTTGGATTTTGGGCTGTAGTCCTTTATGAAATTCAGAGGATAGACAGTTCTTTAAAATCTGCCTCACACCCGAATTTCAGGGTCAACTGAAAGACATAGGTGGTTGTGAAGGCCTTGTGTAGGCTTGTAATAATATAAATTACATAGCTGACATTCTCTTTTCATATTTTTTAAAATAAATGAGTACACCTTATCCACATGAAATTCTAGTTTTCACTGTAATTATGTGGATTCTCTGTGTGATTTCTTGGGTGGTGATATCTTTTCCTTTACTTTCTTCTTGATTGCTCTGAAATGTAGTTGCCTGCTTCTTAGGCAGCTGCAGTAGAGTGCACCCAGAAGTTGTTATTGCTATATTTAGAAAACCATAGGGTTTGTAAAGCAGTTTCAGATTCCTTTGGATAAAATGGTTTCTATAAATGTATCTTTTTAATGAAACTATTATTATCACCCATTAGAGAAATAGAGCAGCTAATATGTGTGGGTTTGTGGACGTGACAGAGTCACAAAACTTTTTTACTTATGAGCTCACTGTAAGGCCGGGCATAAAGTGGTAGCTTACCTGCTTAGCATGTGCAAAGCCCTAGATTCCGTCCCCAGTACCATAAAAAAGAAAAGAAAAAAAACCTCACAAGGTATTTTAAATACTTAAAATTAATCATATGAATCTTACTTTGATACTCTTACTCTTGCATTACAGAGCTTTTACTCAGGTGTTTACTTTTGGTCCAACATTCCGAGCTGAGAATTCTCAAAGCCGGAGACACCTGGCAGAGTTTTATATGGTAGAAGCAGAGATTTGTTTTGCTGAGAACCTTCAAAATCTCATGCAGGTAAGTACACAGTATTAAAATTTCATTTATCTGTGACATTAAAATGCCTCTGTGTATATTTTCACCCTGGGCATTGTGTATTACAGGTATTCTTAGGATGAAGATAGAGAATGATTTAATTTAATAAATATTTACTGAGTGCCTTCAGTGTAATAGTTGAACATATAAGTCAGGTTTAAGTTTAATCCTAGCTTTGCTATTAGCTTTGCTTTGCAGTTGCTTAACTTTCAAGATCTTGTCTTCCTCCACTGCAAAAGGAGAATAATTGAACTTATTTTATCAAGTTACTATGAAAAGTAAATTAATGTATATCATATAAAAATCCTAGTTTGAGGCCTGGAATATCAGCAGGCTTAGTAAATACTAACCCTTAATTTTTCTAGATAAATAAAAGATCATATAAATTTCTATAATATATAAACATCTGTAAAGTTGTTTTAGAAAGCATCCACAGGAGCTGTCATGATTCATTTTGGGGAATAAGACATAAAGCTAGAGAGATAGCAATCAGATCATTAAATAACAGCTATTTAAAGGCCATGTTAAGAAGTTTAAACTTTATGCAAAAAGTTCTCCAAAAGGTATAAGAGAAAAAGTTCAAAGTTGGAAGAGACTTTGTCAGAATTGTATAGATTTTTGTGATATAATCTCTTTAAAAAAAAAAAATTTGTGTGATCTAGCCAGTTTTGTCCCAACATTGTTTTAAATGTTTATTAATATATGCTTGTAGTACCTAATGATTAAATTCATCATGGAGAGCTGGTACGTGTACATAAAACATCTTTTTTTAATCCCTCTTCCCTCTCCCCCTACTTCCTCAACTCCCCATCTGTTTGTCCCCTTCCCTTTTGCAAAAGAGCTATCTTCCCATTTCCTAGTCTCTCTTTTATTTTGCTTTTTTTATTTGCTTATATTCTGGCTTTCTCGTATAAGAGAAACTCAATATTCAAGCCTGTGTGTCTGATTTAATTCACTTAAACATTCTGATTCTCAACATGCATCCTTTTTCCCATGGATAACTCAAGTTTATCCTTCTTTATGTCCATGTAGTATGTATTTCATTATATTTAAATACCACATTTTCTTTCTTCATTCATCTGTTCATGGACATATAGGCTACTTCCCAGATTTAGCTATTATGAATTGTGCTGCTATAAACATGGGTGCTCATATATCACTGTAATGTGATGTCTTTAATTCTTTTGGGAAGATATGTAGAAGGGGAATAGCTGGGTCAAGTAGAATTTCTATTTTTAGTTCTTTAAGGAATGTCCATACTAATTTCTATAATTGTGATATTAGTTTACATTCCTACCAGTGTAGAAGGGCTCTTTCCACCCACCCCAACCGTGGCAGCATTTGTTATTTGATTTTTTGTTGATAGCTGTTCTTTCTGAAATAAGAGGGAATCTCACTTTTTATTTAATTTGCATTTATCTGGTGGCCAATGATGTTGAACGTTTTTTTCATGTATTTATTGGCTACTTGTATTTTTTTCTGATAAGTGTCTATTCATTTGAATTGTCCATTTTTTTAGTAGTTTTTTTTTTCATTTTAGGAGGTCTAATTTTTTTTTTTTACTTCTTTTTATGTTCTAGATATTAGTCCTCTGTCTGAGGAGTAGCTGGCACAATTTTTTTCCATTCTCTAGATTGTTTCTTCACACTGTTGGTTTTTTCTTTTGCTGTGCAGAAGCTTTGTAAATTGATACAATCCCATTTGTTGATTTTTGATGTTATTTTTTATGCAATTGTGGTTCTGTTCAGAAGGTCCCTGCCTGTGCTAATGTCAAGAATTTCATCTATTTTATCTTCCTGCAGATTAAGTGTTTCTGTTTTAATATTTAGATCATTGGTCCATTTTTATGTTAATTTAGTACATAGTAAGAGATATGGATCTAAATTCAGTCTTCAGCATGTGGCTAGCCAATTTTCCCAGCACCATTTGTTGAACAGGCTGTCTTTGCTCTAGTGTATGTTTTTGGTCCTTTTGCCAAAGAAAAGATGGGTGAATGTGCCTGAGGTTGTTTCTGCATCCTCTGTTCTATTCCACTGATCCACATGTATGTTTTTGTGTCAGTGTCCTGCTAGGGTTTTTTGTTTGTTTTGTTTTGTTTTATCACTGTAGCTTTGAAACATAACTTGAACTCTGAGGTTGTGATACCTCTTGCTTTGCTCTTATTTCCCAGAATTGCCTTTGCTATTCTGAGTTTCTTCTGGTTCCATATGAACTTTGAGATTGTTTTCTCTAGTTCTGTGAGGAATGCTGTTGGTATTTTGATTGGATTTGAATTAAATCTGTGTATCAGTTTTGAAAGTATGGCTCTTTTGACAGTATTGGCGCAGAACCAGGTACAAGGGATAACTTGCCAGTTTCTAAAGTCCTCTTTGATCTTTTCCAGAGTACTGTACTTTTCATTAAAGAGGTCTTTTACTTCCTTTGTTAGGTTAAGTCCTAAGTATTTAATTTTTCTTGCAGCTATTGCACATGGTATTTTATTCCTAATTTTTTTGTCAGTGGGTTTATTGTTGGTGTATAGGAATGCTGTTGATTTTGTATACTGCTACCTGGCTAAATTTATTAGTTGTTGGAGTCTTTTGGTGAAATTTTTTGTGTCTTCTATGTAAAAGATCATGTCATCTGTGAATAAGGATAGTTTGACTTCTTCCTTTCCTATATACTTCTCAACAGAAATAAAATATATGTGTAGGAAAGGAAGAAGTCAAACTATTCTTATTCACAGATGACAAATTTTGAATACTATATTGAACAGTAGTAGTAATTGTGGATATCTTTGCTTTGTTCCTGACTTTTTTTTTTTTTGGTACTGGGGATCGAACTTGGGACCTTGTGCTTGTGTGGCAGGCAGCGGAACTACTGAGCTACATCCCCGGTGCCTTGTTCCTGATTTTAGAGGGAAAATCTTTCCATTTTTCTCCCACTTAATATGTTGGCAGTAGGTTTGTCATAAATTACTTTTATCAGATTTAGATAAGATCCTTGTATACCCATTTCCTTTGGATTTCTTTTTTATCATAAAGGGATTTTGGATTTTGTCAAAGACTTTCTGCATCTATTGAGTTAATCACGTGATTTTTGTCCTTCTATTTATGTGATATATTACATTTAATGAGTTGTGTATGTTGAGCCATCCTTGCATCCCTGGTATGAAACCTAGTTGGTCATGATGTATGACCTTTTTATTGATTTGTTGCATTCTGTTCACTTGTATTTTGTTGAGGATTTTTGTGTCTGTATTCATTAAAGAGATTGACCTATGGTATTCTTTTTTAGTTGAGGCCTTGCTGATTTTGAAATGGAGGTAATGCTAACTTCCAGGAATGAGTTTGGGAGTACTCCTTCCCTTTTAATTTCATTAAAAAATTTAAAGAGTATTGGTGTTAGATCTTCCCTTAATGTTCTTGTAAAATTCAGCGGTGAGTCCATCAGATCCTGGGATTTTTGATCCAATGATGTACTCTGGCATGGAATGGCATTGCTAACTACATGCCTTGCCTCTCTCCCAAGATCCAACCACCTCCATTAATTGGGGATGGGGGGGTTGCAGTATAATTGGCCCAGCACCCACCCTCTTCTCCAGAAATGAACCACAATATTGTTGATGACACAAAGACAAACCAGGGGCAGGGATTTAGCTCAGTGGCACTGTGCCTGCCTCGCCAAGCGCAAGGTCCTGATTTTGATCCACAGTATCAAAAATAAATCTGGACAAAGACATACCAGATATTGGCATATAATAAAAACTAATAACAACTATGCCACCATGTCAATAGCAATGAAATCAGTAATAGTAATAAAGTCAGAGCTCAGCCACGCTGTGCCTGCCTGGCCAGCACAAGGTCCTGAGTTAGATTCCCCGTACTGGGAAGAAAAACATAGAGTCAAAGACAAAGTGGCTATGTACATACCGTAAGAGCCAATAAAAACTACTATTATACCACCCTTAACAATAGAAAAGAGATCTGTAATTAATAAAGGTACAAAAACAAACCAAGTATAATATATATATAATAAATATCTACTAAATGGAACAACTATACTACTGTTGACAGTAGAAGAGAATTCAACAATAATCTAAATATCTAAAGATTAATAAGACTTAATAGCCATACTAATAAAGATGGAGGGGGTGAGATGGAGGGAGAAAATGAAAGAAGTAAAATTTGAAAAATAAAAGCAAGATGAGAGAGGAGATAAAGGATCTTACTACACAGTAAAAGAATAATTAATAGAACTCGATCAAAAGTAATAGAAAAGAACAAGAAAAAAAATATAAAAACCAAAATAAAGAAAAACCCCCAAGCCCCCAGAACACAATGAAGAAAAAGATATGAGTCCAAAAATATTACTATGTTTTTGAATGAGTAGTTTCTTTCCAGGATCTGCAGTACTGGAATATTCCAGACATGGTGGAGTGATATTGAGTCACTATTAAGACCTATTTTGTTTCCTCATGCACAGTTTTGTGTGCAAATGCTGAATCCTGCCCTGCCTTTCCTGCTGGGCATGGTCAGTCAGTGGTGTCTGCCTTACAGTTTCTATGTCCCTCCATGTGCCCTAAGTCATTGCTTTCTCTCTCTAGCTTTACAATGTGTTCGGTTTGTGAGGTGCCCCCTGCTCCAGAGGCTCCTATGTCCATATACCCCAGGCTGTGGCAACCATCCAAGCTGAGATATATCCCTGATCACATTGACAGATGAGGATATCAAACAGACACTGAGCTTTATGTTGAATGTAGGAAGTGAGGTGGGGGAGTCAAGCAACCTGCTGGACTTAATGCTAACTCCAGAAATATAAATGACCAGCATGGCTTCTCAACTCAGAGAGCAGGACCTCTGTGTCTTTCCCAGCCTGAATTTAGACTTCTCAAAGGGTTTGTCTATCTTGTACCCTCTCCATGACTGTCTCTTGTGGCCATCTCTCACCCCCAGTCACTGTGGTAGAGTGACCCCAGAAACCCTGAAGTGTATGTAGTTCTG